TTTGATCAAAATTAGACTTGTCATATATACTGGATAAAAATTTTAAATCGCAAAGTTGGTCAGAAATATGGCAATTGGATATTTTGCCAAAAACATTCAGCTGTATTTGTTGTTTTGTTACAGCCACTTCCTGAATCCGATTATATAAAATCACTTCTTTGTTCTTTGACCGACTTTTACAAAACATAGCAACTGCAAATTTGGTCAAGTGAAGATGGACCCTTTTATAGACTTTTGAATGCCCCCAAGACCAAGGTCAATGAAAAGTATAAGAAAATATGAAGAAAGAGACGAATTCTCTCCAAAATATCGTGTCCTGAATCGGCACGGTTGGTAAACAGTTTTTTCTCTTTTTTTCCCTTGGTGGTTTTTTTTGCTTTGCCAGGCCATAAACGGCAGATTTCTGTAGGCCCCATTCAGCGCTCAGACTGGATACACTCGGTCGAGCATCCTAAAGCTAGAGAAAATATTGACAGTTTGCTGGTTTATGGTTTTGTGTGAAGCAAAAGCAGCACGCGATCTGTAAGGCTACTTCTTGGACGTTATTTTCTTCAACTAAGTCCGGCTCAGAAATGGGAAGCTTGGGACAGACATCCAGACACTCCACTGCAAAACATGATGTAATATGAGGAAATAATTGCTTGAATCTGGTGATTTTTGTATCTTAATTTGCGTATATTATTTTTTTTAAACAAGATTTGACAATGAGACAAAGCCATTTAGTCTTTTTTTTTTTATCAAGAAATGTGGCTTTATTTTCTCATTCTAAGCCAACAAGATAATTTTGTCTTGTCCCATTGCCAAATCTCGTTTAAAAAAAAGTAAAAAATATGCTCAAATTTTTATACATTTAGCCAAATTTGAGCAAGTTTTGACTAATTTTTCATCACTTTTAGTACATGAAAATGAACATTGTACAAATTGTGTGGTTTTGAGCGGGAAGGCTGCTGTTTTTATGCTTGTTGGTTGGTATATTCCAGTGAGACAGACTGAACTGCAGACTCACTTATACGTCGGAGTACATCTCTACTCTGTATTCGGACACTTACCGCTGCCTCCAGAGACAAACCCGCCATTAGAATTCAGTAAAGTGGGTGAAATGCAGAGGCTCAGAGCTGTATTACAGGCTTATAGAGGATTAAAGATGAAAACTACACTCAAAATAACGATCAGAAAACTCTTACGGGCGTGGTATTCTGTATCTCTTTTTTCTTTTCCGATGTCAAAGTAAAATGTATTGTCATTTGATAAAGGGTTTCTATAAGGAGCTTAAGCCCAGTGGCTCATCAAACACTGATGTGGTCTTTAACGCTAACAGTAAATCAGATGAGAAAATGGACCTTTCAGAACTTTTGACCTCATTATCATTGATTTTTTTCTTGTCAAAGTTGTCTGTAGAAGGATATATTTTTTTACTTATGGAGACACAGAATCGTCAGAAAAGAGTAAAAAGGATCATGGAGGACACTGACTGCTTCTGGTCTGCTCAAGACAAGAACGGCACTTACAGCTTGAGACACAGAAGAGAAGGAAAAAAAGAAGAAATAAAACGATTCCACAACCTCCCGCTGTGAGACTCTAGGACATTTATTTAAACTCAGAAATACTGCATTTAATGTATGTTTGAACTCTTTAATGGCTTGGAACTGAAATCTACCTCATTCAGGCATCTCTATCACTTGGTTTTAGGCACTTTTACCATCAGACTGCATCTCAATCATTTGGTAAAGGCCTATAATAAAATAACAAACAAACTAGGGGTTAAGCAAACCTCCTCCATACATCTTAAAGGAGCAGTACGTAAAAATCTGGCCAAAAGTGGTACTGCAACCTCTCCCTCACTCAGGTTGCCAGATATGCAGACGAATCCAGCTGGGACCATTGTAACTGAATAGACAAGAGTTTTATCAACAACAAATCTTTAACCAACACCATTTCCACAATGGCCCCGATGGATATTCTCATTTTATTCTTTGTTTTATAGTTAATGATTTGAGAATCATAACAAGACCTTTTTTTAGTTCTGTGGCCACATGTTACTTTACCAGTGAGATTAGCCTGACGCGGTGAGTTCTGGCAACCCGGATCACAGACTTTCTGATTGGTGAAGGGCGGGACATCGAAATGAAAACAATTTAGAAATTCAAATATCTCTGAACTACTGTTATCAGTTAAAGAAGTTTTGGGAAAGAGCATGATTTCTTATGGTGCTTTCAGACCGCCAATGCTCAAACGCTGAAGCCCCGCTCACCAGACACGCATTCTCTAGTTTTCAGACGCAGAGGACTTCACACCAGAACGTCCTGACGCGAGCCGGAAGTACCGGAAGTAGCCGGCCGGCTCTAATGCTAACAGAGCTATGCTAGCGGCTTCTTGTGTACAGATCTTCTCCAATATGCAGCTTTGCAGCGTGTCTTTGCTCACAGACATTCCACGGGATTTATATAACAGCAGAATGTGTTCACGGAGGTGCGCCATACGTTTTTTCATATTATTAAACGAAATTTCCGCATCGGCAAACACACTCGAAGCCGTTGCATAAGATCATGGGAGCATGACAACGCATATTTTCACAAGCACACAGTCCCCCATTGTCAACCCTGGTTTGAGTTCTGGTGAAGCCTGGTGTGGGTCCTGGGTATTTTCAGTCTGCTCGCTCAGTCCGCTGATGTCCCCGTGACCACTTTGCTGCTCTCTGATTGGTTGTCGCACGAACGTCCCAAGGAAAGGATGAGCAGAATCCATCTCCTGTGGGCGTCGATTTTTCGCTCCTGCTCTTCCCTTTTCACTTTCCCGCCATGTCCGTGCGTCATTATTGAAGAGTCCGTTCGTGCGTGCCGAGAGGTCCGTGCGTTGTGACGGTCGAACGCGCGCCACCATAGACTTTGCATTGAAACCCGACGCATCGCATGATCCGGTCTGAAAGCACCAAAAGCCTTTTGACAGATTAGGACGCTATCATGAAGACTTGACATGATAATCTTGCTTATTGGTACTTTAAACAATCAGATAAAGAAAAAAAAAATACATTGCTTTCTGTAAGGACCAATTAAAAGTAATACAGTATATTCCTGTAGTTTTTTACTTACATATTTTTTTAATGTGAAACGCTTTGTGATCCTGGTCTGTGATAGGCACTATACAAATAAACTTTACTTACTTACTTTCTTACTTAGAAACAGCTACTTGCACAGTGCAGTGCTCATAGAAGTATTCCTATAGGGGATTAATATATGAAATGATGTGGAGGTTGGATGTATGAAGAGGTCTTGTGTGGTGTTAATGAAAACCCCTGGAGCTCAAACGCTGATGACCAATCACAGTAACGCTGATCAGAGCGGAGAGCTTCAACAGATTGGTACAGATAAGAAACGCTTGAGAATCCATTAATTATCAAGGACACTATGTACAGTATTACGGTCCATAGGTAAAAAGAAGATACAAGACATACAGTACATTGCTTATAGAAAAAATATTGTATTATGCTAAAATAATCATTATATAATTACTGACCATCCTTTAAAAAAATACTTTAACTGAATTGTTTTGTCTCTCGCGCTGCCCCTACTGGACCCATCACTGTGACATGTCCCAGCAGCTATCCTGACTCTCTCTGTCCCAAAGACGTCACTCTCACCGGTTGTTTTTCATTTCTAGATGTTCTTTCCTGGACTCTTCTACTTATTTAAAGCAATATTTACGCCCTTTCAATCCCTTTCGTAACCTTCGTCACACAAACCAGCTTTTCTTTCACACTCTTCGTGCCAAAAAATAACTTGGCAAATATGCTTTTCAATATAAAGCTCCAAACGACTGGAATCTCCTTCCGACTTCAATTCGCTCCTTCACCTCTTTTCCTCTTTCTAAAGCTGCTGTATTAAGGCACCTGTGTAATGTTTGCTACTGACCTTTCTTTTAAATACTACTATCCTGAGATTTTCACTGTCCCAGTTTGAGGAGGCAGGGGGCGACCTCGTCACTCGAGTTTGTGGCCTAAAAGTGTTATTTCTATGAGTAAAATCCTCTCTACAGCCCCTGAGCATTGAAGCTGCAGTGGCGCCATAACCATTCTGGACACAGGTATAAGCCATTTTGCAAAAGGTGATGAAAAACAAGTCTAAAATGGCTCAGCTTTGGCAAAATGTTTCTTCTTTTGTGCCCATTTTGACTGCCTTAAAACAATATTTGCCAATGGGACAAGGACAATCAATAAATTTTATCTATAGAGCCCTTTACGACACTCAAGGCGACCAAAGTGCTTTACAATACAATTACAAAAAATCCATTAAAACATTAAAGTTACAAGAAATGTCTCCCTTGGAATGAGAACATGCAGCAACAGTTCTTGAAATAAGACTAAATGAAGATAAAAACCACTTGATTTAAGCATTTATTACCTCATTTTTTGCAGCATAGCGACGCCGCTGCTGTCTTGGGTCTAACGTACACGGCTCTAACCTCGCATGTTTCTTTTCTTGACACTAACTAATAAATCCATTCATTATTATTCATTATCGTTTCCGTGGAGCCGTGACCACTCAAGATTTGAATAATGCAGCGTTGCCACTGACGCACTCTTCTATCACTTCTGCATTATTAACACTGGGACTCCCACAATTATCAAACTACTAGAACTCCCAGAGCTGTCGTTTTGACTGCTCTCATTCAAACCAATGGGATTCTGATAAAATTTGCCACAAAAATATTTAGTTTTTTTTGACATGAATTAAAAGTAAAAGTGAATAAATGTAAAAAAACGTATAAATTACTTTCTAAGTGCTAAAACTAAAAAAATATATATATTTATTATTATTGTCATATTTTTGCTCATTTTTGTCATGGGAATGCAACAATGAATAAAAAAAAGAACAGGATTAGGATGAATAAAAGTACATTCTTATAAACTCCTACCCCATTCTAGTCATATAACTTAAAAAACAGCAAAAAGCAGTTTGTTCAAAGGCTAATGCTAACTGGTAGCTAGGGTACATCAGGTTGCTATGGTAACTGGTGGTACTGGGACTGGCTCTAGTCTGGGAGGTAAAGGTAGAACTTCTCTCATTTCAAAAGTAAAAGAAAATGTCATAAAAAATAAATAAATAAAATAAAGTACATATAGACACAGAAAAAGTCTCAAAGTTAGGCAGACCAAAAATGTACATAATTATAAATAAATACACTTGCGAAACTAAAGGCCGTCAATAGCCCATTTAATGAAAGAGGCAACCGCAGCATACCTACAATTGTTGCTAATATAAATAAATGTTTCCGCACAATTATCAATCGTGTCCGGGGAGTTGGCGCTGATACAAAAATCTGGTGGAGTTTTCAGCCTAAATGAAAAAGACATTTATTTGAAGGTATTTGATGTATGCCCTTTCTGTTTTTCTGCTTCAAATATCAGAACATTAGTGTGGAGTTTCTCATTCAGGCTCTGAAATGTTGGGTTTTGGCAGCTAAAAATAAACACGAGGGATGTGTTAGCGGACTAGACGAAACGCAGTGGAATTTCCAGGCTTACAGATAGCAAACGCAATTGCTTATCAAAGCCAAATCAGGGCTGACATTTTTCCGGAAAACAACAGAAATAACTGAACTGGAACTTGTTTTAAATACGATTCTGTAAATCTCTGCACGGCCTCGCACCAATGGCACGGCAACATCCAATTTCACTACATGCAAGGTTATATATTGTATCATTTTGTTTGTCAAGCTATGTTATAACTGGTTTTGGGATAAAGACAGAAATCAGAACTAAAAATGGGGAGGCAGCATTTCAGATTTAGGGTTAGCAAACTAAAATCTGGAACAATATTCCTGAAAATGTGAGATAGGCTTCTTCTCTGACAATGTTCAAATCCAGGCTAGAGATAAGATAAGATTGACTTCATGGATCTCACACTGGAGAAATGCATATGTCACGTTTGGCATGGATTGAACAACTCAGATTGTGCAAACATGTTAAAGATTAAACAAACATTGTGTACAATACAAAAGTGGCAATAATACATGCAAAAGTTGAAGACAATATGTTGTGGTCTGATTTCTCCCCAACATTGTACTTGTAGTTTCCCTCAAGAATGTTATCCATATGTTATTTATAGAAAACTAAAGTTAGGTACCCCAGCTTTATAAGGATGTTGTGTTGACCATGTGACCGCTGTGGCTTTAGCAACCTGCTCATTTGCCCTAAAACGTACAGCTTGTGATAAAAATAGCTCAATGTCTTGCAGTTGAGGTAAAATGGAGTTCTGTCAGAGTTTGAATAACGCCGTGGATGACATATGATGACATATACAGACTCCAGGGATGTTCACACTTCATCAGCTTTTGTCCTGATTTGAGCCCTGGCTTCCTGTGGCTCAGAGGAGAGACTTTAAAACTGCTTTGCTTGTCTAAAGGTTTCTCCACGGCCTCGCTCCAACGATCATACACTGCAAAAAGTGATGAAAAAGTGCAAAAAGTGATGACAAATAAGTCAGAGATTGCTCATATTTGGCAAAATGTATCTTCATTTGAGCACTTTTCAACTTCCTAAGACAAAAATAAAACACTTTATTTAAGCATTTATTACCTCATGTCTTATCACTTTTTGCAGTGTATCATCTCGAACTGTTTCCTTTAAAGCTGCGGTACCTGACTTTATACTTTATACAATCTATTCTTTTACCATTTGGGTTTTGAGTTGTTTCATGCTGATGCAGGAGGGTCCCAGAACAGAGATGATTTGGGACATTTATAGACATTTATGAACATTTATGAACATTAATCTTCTTGCTCCCTATAGACTGTTTGATTCTCTGATTTGTTGTTGAGGAATCGACAACGTTGTAAGGTCCTCTGTGACGACTGCTTTTGTTATTTAGTGCCAGTCCAGGACCAGTCTAGAATCCAGTTAATTTCATAAATGACTTAGACTTATGAAGACCAAAAACATACATCGGCAGAGGTATTCCACTTCTTAAACGAAAAGCCGTCATATTGACTGCCTGGGAACGCCTTGGGGTCCCCCCGGATGAGCTGGAGGAAGTGTGTGTGGACAGGGAAGTCTGGACGTCTCTGCTTAGACTGCTGCCCCCGCGACCCGGCAACGGATGAAGCGGAAGAAAATGGATGGATGGATAAGATCGCTCAGAATTGTCAGAATTGTCTATAACCTATTACTCATTCTGTTGGAACAAACAATATGTCACCTGCCAAGAAAAATAAAATAAAGTACCCCAGCTTTAAACAACATCAGCTAAGACCATGCCACTGTCGATTTGTACAACTTTATAATCCAGAATTGCTGAACAAAAAAAAAACAGTGCTACGTTCATGTTTGAGAATTTGGGGCAGAGACACGCTCATATATATTTAAGGCCCCCGCGGCTCTGTGCTGATGTCGCTGATGCTATTCTGGTTGTTTTGTTCAGGTCCACGCTGACGACGTGCTCACCAAAGAGGAACAGATCGGCCTCCTGTTCAAAGCCAAACGCAAATGTGAAGGAAACATCCGATCCAGGAGCTCCAACAGAGGTGAGTGTGTAATCGCCATGACAACCCAACAGAGCTATCATCACGACGTCCCATTAGCATCGGCTTGTTTTGTGTTTCCGTCTGATTTTTTGTGTATAATGTAAAAATTATGGTGTAGTAGGTTGCGTTCATTTTCTTGAATTCTAAATCTAAATCTAAAGGGGAAAGAAGCAACTTTTGAAAGACATTTACCTAGAACAGGGAAGTGAAATACATCAGAGGCCAAAAAAAAAACAATTTAGCTACGGACTGGTTCAATATTTATTAAAACATATTAAAATGATTGCACAGCAGAACCAAGACCTAACACAGTGTACCCTATTTTATTTAATGATTAAATGAATAATCCAATATTTTTGTCAGTCATTTCAAGTGTAAAATAATGTTCAACAGACTCGCAGATAAAAATAAACTCCTGAACATTAAATTATGAATGCAATATTTTCTTATGGCTCTGTTCAGGCCATTTCTAATACTAATCAATTATCATTCTCGGGGCCAAGATTGTTCATTTGTGGACCGGATCTGGCTCCCGGGCCTTAACTTTGACCCCATGTCCGAGATCATAGGCTTGTGATTTGATTCTTTCTATATTTCATTTGTTTTAAAATCCAAAAAACAAGACACTTTTTTCCATAGCTAAGATAAGAAATACCTAAGATAATCCTTTACATTTCAATGCTATAGTTGCTCACATTACAGCAGAATAAAAGGATAAAAAATAGCCTTCAGATTATGTTTTGAGTTGTGTTTGAACTTTTCTGATCTGTTTTGGTGAATTCAACGGTTTTGTAAAGAATACCTTGAATTGAATTGAACCTATTTGCAAAAAGAAAATGTGTAAGCTATATCTCAAATCCATGAAAGACTGGAGCTGGATCAAGTAGATAATATAGAAGTCTGTCAATTACTAGACAAATTCCCTGCACATTAATAAAACGCTTATGAAAATCAATAGCAGGTGAAAAACAGTAACACCTTATTTCTGTCTTTGTAATTGATATTGATCCAAAGCAGACGTCTCTTTGCAGCTATCGACTCGTTGTGGCATTTAATAGTGTGTAGTGGTCTAATGTTATAGAAATAATGTTTGTTTGCATCATATAGTCTTGTAGTGAATAGTAGATTGGACAACAGTTATAACATATTTATCCTCTTCATCTTTAGAGCACATTTAAAACGGTCTAGGTTTACCAAAGTGCTGTACAGACAAGAAACCCAGCACAACAACCACTCATACAAACACAGAAATATATATATGTACATTAAAAAACGAAAATTTGTCTCTTTCTACCTAGTATTAAAAGCCAAAGAGAAAAATTCTGTGTCCATGCCTCCTCAGTAAAAGTGACTGAGCATATCAAAGCCATTGAGACATTTCTTGAATATTTTTAAATCAAGATCATTGGCCAATCTTGTTTTAAGGCAGTCAGAATGTGCTCAAAATAAGATTCATTTTGCCATATTTTAGCAATTTTTTTACTTGTTTTTCATCACTTTTTGCAGTGAAATGTCCCTGCACAGTGAAATCCGTCCTCTAAAATTGACCCATACTTAAATCTTGCTGGACTAATATCTATTATCAGATAGTCAGTAGTATCCCTGGCTCGTCTCGGTGTCGTGTCTGTCCTGTCCCGCTGCAGTTCGACCTCTGGCTGCTGTTTTTACCCTGGTCTCCTGAGTTCGGCTGCTGCTGATCTCGGGGATTTCACGCTGCTGCTGTTGACCAGGTTCAAAGCTTAGAGTGCCCCTCATGACCGTGCTGCAGGTGCCTCTTCAGGGATTTTTGTAATTTTCCCATCACTGAATATGTGTTGGAAAGTCCCAAGGCGCAAGACGATGAGATGAGAAGGAAAATGTCTAGGTAAAAATAGGTGCATAACAGAATAGAGTGGAATTTCAAGTTCAGTTCATACATGCTCAAAGTGAACAGTTCACGTTCAAAGTTCACAATTTCAATTCTGAACTAGTTCAAAGTTCAGTTCGTTTAACTTTTTCTCCTGAGATATTCAAATAAATACTTTTTTCACACTACGAGCTAGAAATCACTATACGTGATTATATATATATATATATGTATGTATATATATATAATGTATATGTACACAGCACAGGAGGAGAGCCTTTTGACTCAAAAACAGACAAGATTTACACTGTTTTCAATGAGAGCAAAACTATGTTGTCCCACCTCTGCTCATAAGTACTAAACTGTACTGCGCTGCAGTGCGTGTGTCTATACTTTATGTCAAATGTAAACGGACGTGTGTCGCTAACTCACCCTGTGTTTTCATCACATGAAATAAAGCACATCTTATCACAACTCGGGCACATGCGAGTCCAACAACCCATGAAAAGCACTAGTATACACGGAGTCAGGTGCGTTCAGACTGTGGAAACCGTGGGAATTTATATTTTTCGGCAGAAAATCTGCGGAGAATACAAGAGGGAGGAACTTTCTCTTGTTGCGTTTCAAAAGAGAAAACTCAGTTTTCAATGGAAAACAAATTCCAACGTTCATTTACAGTGATGTCTGCCGTTCATGATACAGAATGTGAACTAATTCACGTTCAAGTTCTTTATTAAAAAATGTGTTGCGCTCAGTTCAACGTTCTATGAAAAAATTACGTGTTCAATGAACGTGTTCTTTTGAACTGGT